CACCGACGTGTGCAGCCAAAAGAAGATAAATGAAAACAATCGACGAGTGAGTTTAACACGATTTAAATATCTATAAAATGTAGAATAATTATTACATTATTTTATGTTGCGTTAGATAGATTATAATTCATAAATAAGTAATAACCCGAGATAGTGACTGTGGGTTTTTGGTTGTCGAGTATAAAAATATACGTTTTATCTTATTCTGTTACTGTAGGTAATATGAGTAACGCATTATAATTGGATAGATTCGTACCGTTTTGGTAACTCTATAGATGATGGGTTAAGAGAAGTACCGACTCGAAACAAATTTAAAACATTTTTGCCTATTTTAAACATTTTTACTATTATTTTTTTTTTATTTTAAATATTTTAAAACGTAAAAGATGGTTGAATCTACAGATCGAATWTTTTTTTTAATATTGATTTTTTTAAGACAAATAATACAAATATGCATTAATGCGACTTGTCTTCAATAATTTTGGTTTCCAAGTACAAATAAATATTGTCAAACATACGAATAACTGCCAATAACAGTAATATTTAAGTAATTTATAACTAAAGTAATAATAACGAACTAATGCCAATAATAACTTTACAGAGTAACAATAACAATATTATAATCTAAAGACTATAATTTAAACAAGARTTKTTTTTTTTTTTAAACATTTGTTTTTTTATTAATATGTTTCGGTGAAAACTATAGTATTATTTTTGTTACTAATTCTAATTTTTTAAGTTCATACCTATAATAATTTTACCAATTCTACTTACCTACTAACATACTTTGTTAATAATTACTTTTTTTGTTACAATACATTATTTAACATTTTTAATGATAATGAATTAGGTTTATAAATTTAGATTAAATCCAATAGTAAGAAAGATCTCTGTAACATAATATTTACGTATGCAGAGATCTTATCATTGTATGTATTTTACTTTATAGTGTTTCAATAAACGTAATTAAACTTAACGTCAATAGAACGATTTTAATCAATTTTAGTCAATTTTGTTTATTTCTCTTTACAAATTTAAATTTAAATTTWATATTTTTGAGAAAAAAAATATATGTTTTTAACAACGAAGAATATGTGTACGATATYATAAAAGTAAATAATATTAAATGTAAATGGTATAGACTATAGTTTATTAATAGTTTCACTCATGTGTAATATTTTGTTGCCTAACAGCTAACACATATTATTTACAATTTACTTAACATAATTTTAATTTATACATTATATTTAATTACTTTACTTATACAATTTTGTGTGTGTGGCTAGTGTACTAGAATGGTSTATGTAAATAAGTATTTATGAGTTCTGATTTTTATATTTAATTWTTTGACTCGTAAAAATGAGTTAGGTATAGGCAACTTCTTATACACACGTGCCTAATGTTGATTCATATTGTGGATACGGCACTCTTATAGGTCACAATTGGAACGAAATTTGTTTAATGTAACACAACTCACAAGAAGTAATAGAATATTTTAACCGAAGTTTTTTACCTGTGATTCGAGACACAATATATTTTAATCTAATTATAAATAATAATAAACCACGGTATAATATCAAACTTAACTGTTAAAATAAACTATAAAGTGATTTAAGAATTACTGACTTAAATAATCTGACTTGTTAGAATGTGAAATTATAAAAGTATCAATTTTTTTTTCTAGAGCAATAAACCAATAATGGAGAAGAAACGAAGAGCAAGAATAAACAATTGTTTAAACGAATTAAAGACTTTGATCCTAGATGCAACTAAAAAAGACGTAAGTATAAATAGTAAAAACAACAAATTATAAAAACGTTGAAGTATATTAAATTGTTTATTCTATTTTATTTTATAGCCTGCTAGACATTCGAAATTGGAAAAAGCAGATATATTGGAAATGACTGTAAAACACTTGGAATCCATGCAAAGGCATAATGTAGCTTTATCTGCTGCTACAGAGTCAACAGTAGCCAACAAATTCAAGGCTGGATTTACAGAGTGTACAAATGAAGTAAACCGATTTCCTGGGCTTGAACCCCATGTTCGCAAACGTCTCATGCAGCACTTGAATACATACTTCAATAAAGAAAGCAGTAATAACAATCCAAAAATTCTTTCAACACCTCCAGAAACATCAAATCTACAATTACATTTGGACTCTAGCCAGAACGCTATACTATTGGGCACCACAGGTTCAGCATGTGGAGTACAATTGGTTCCAACAAGATTATCAAATGGTGATATTGCTCTAGTTTTGCCATCTAGATCTACCGAAACATCACTACCACCCCTTTCCATGATTGTACCAACACCCCCATCTACTCAATCTGATTCTTCTGATACAGAGTCGCCTATGCCTGATAGACCTTCATCATGCTATTCAATGGGTAGCACAGATAGTATTGATACATACAGTCAACCAGAACTGCCCCTAGCACTGGTTACCAAACATAGGCGAGATGAAGAACAGTCAGATCTAGAACAGCCCTGGCGGCCATGGTAGTAATAGTTTATTTTCTGRTTTAACAGGATACTCTCATTAATTAAGTGTTTTTATTTTTATCTTCAAAATATGTGTATGTATACTACAAATTATTCATCAACTTACATAAAAATACTTCTTTGTGCCATACATTTTAAATTGTAGAAATTGTTTATTAGAAGTAGAAGKCTGATAGTGCTAATTATTCACTGGCATAATACAGTTAATATTTATGATTTTGTTTTAACATCATTCTTACATCATAGTTTTAGAAATCTACAATAAATAGTTGGAATTTTTTTTTTTTAAACTACAAATTGTATAACAATAGGTATCTATACGCCAAATTATTGAAACAAAATAGCGTTTGTGCAATTACTATGTTAATGTCTAAAGATTAGATATTAAAATTGCCGGGCATTAGTGCAACATATATTATCAGTGTTATTGTTTAATTCTTATCCAATTATTCCATTTGATTAATGCATATTATAATAATTACATTTTATTTTTTATATTCCATCGTCTTTACTTACATGGTTACATAATAATATTTTGCTTTTATTTATCAATTGTATTTAAAGTTGATTTAATTTATACATTTACCTATATTTTATATTTAATAATTTTCTTTATAGATCAAACATTTAGCTTAATGCTTTAATAATAAGAATATAAGATATTTATAGAAGTGTATGGCTTTAGAGTTAAATTACTTGAAATGTAAATTTTGTTTTTGTTAAATTGTCTATAATCATAATTTTGTAATTTGTATTATAAATCTTAAATTATGTAAGAAAAAAAGGTCCATCCACAGCAATAATTACATTGTCTTCCATTTGGTTGTATCTCAATGGGCTTACCTGTTATTTACATGTTACTTTATTTTAATATTGTGTTATTCAATTATATGAAATATATTGTAAGTAATATTACTTGATGTTTAAGAAATACAACTATGTTATTATAAATGAGAAAAAGTATGTATAATTAATAAGATGAAATATCAATATCATTTATACATACCTATAATGGACACCAGTTGTTTGGGCTAGCCTTTTCCTAAATTGTTTTCATCTGAAAACGGATCTACCCWTTAGGCAAATCACGTATTTAACGTTTGAGTATTGTTGAGTGTATAAAACAGACAGTTATAACAAGTAAAATCTACTCGTCACTTCGTCAGATCTACAAACTACTCAGTAGATAATACCTAAATCACAAACTAAGATATCTTAGTTTGTGACCTAAATTAAAAGTTAGTAGACGAACATTATCAATTGAAACTACATAATAGTTTTGTGGTTACAAGCTGCTGCATATCACTAAAGTCGGCTACCATGTTATTGTTATATAATACATCTACTTTGTTTGATGTTTTATTTAATTAAATTAAATTTAGTAGGTACCTACATGTCCTACATAGACCTTATACTTATAGACGAAACATCCATATCCTTCCATGTGTGCTGAACGCTGGTCACGGTTTAAGTCGTWTAAGAGATAGAATTCTAAATAATATAGATATTAACCTTGGATGTGGTCAAAAGAAATTGAGATCCAGTGATGCCTTTCTTCGGAACAAAGTTATTTTTTTAAATTTCCACACAATAACTATTGTGATAATATTGGCGTGCTAAAAACAACCTACTGCAGGCTGCGGCCTGCGACTTGAAAGTCTGCGACTGCCTCATAGATTAAAACTCTACTATCTCTACTATGCTGTCTATACTATTATAGTATTACTACTATTACTCTTACTGTCTTACTCTATGGAAGTATGGACTATTGGACTACCTACTACAGSYTAGTGCCTACTTGGTGTCAAACACTGGAATGGTATAGAAATCAAGAAACTAAATGTTATAGTTACAAATTTGAGAATTTATTCAAGTAGCCAAGTCTTAAACACAAAAAGGTAATTTATTATCATTATGGGTCTAGTATATATTATTATGTTTGTATATTAAAAAGTTAATAAAATAGTAATATTGTATAATATAATCAAATTTGAAATGTTTATAAAACTGTTTGTCAATAGGAGTGACATATAATTGTCTTAAGTAATTCAATAAAAATAAATTTAAAAAAGTATTTGCTTGTCCATTAGTTATATAAGGATTACTAATAAATAAATAGTTGATGACTATTATTTGTTGCAAAAAAGAATTAATTTTGTTAATTTTTGCCCAAATTTAATTTTGTTATGATTAGATTCTTTATTAGCTGCATGGTGTTAATCTGACATCCAAATATATATAAATAATAAGTGCTATTAATTGGTCTCTATGGTTATTAAAGAGATTTTGACTCACACAATTATCATCTAATTCCTTATTTTTTTTTTTTTTTGAAAATAGAGAAAAGACAATATATATTTATAAATTATAAAATATACATAATTTGTTCAATAAGTCATTGCAATTACAATAATATATAATATGAAACATAACATGAGTCACTTATTGATAGGGGAAGTCATTCACTGCTATGATAATAGGTACCCCTTGTAAAATTTCTTAGATTGAAATAGTTATCTAGATGTAAAAAAGGTGATTGTTTAGTTCTATATTTGTTTTGTCTGAGTTAAAGGTTGCGATTCCAATTTGTTTTCAGTCTGCTGTCTAATTCCTTAAAAATTCTTTAAGTACTGTTYATATATGTCTTTTTATTTAAGTGAATAAATCATTTTTAAAAATATTCTCACAACCTCTAAAAACTCTTACATCTATTAAACAAAATATGTCAACTACATCACTAAATGATTTTATTATCGTATTATTCCTTTCTTTCAAATTATTTAATGTATTATGATTTATGAGTAACCGTTTTATCCAAAGATAAAATCATCTGTGATGTATTCACAGATTTAGCACTCCTCGTTTTAGAGATATAGTTGCGCCTATGTTCAAACCCGTAAATATAGAACTTGTTCTATTTTTAGAAATATCGTTAAGGG